TCTCATTTACAACTGCGACCTGGCCAAGATAAAGCAAAGCAGTGCGATAAAAACAACAACAACACAGAGTTACACATGGGATAAAACAAAACATACAGTCAATAACACAATAGAAAATCTATATACAGTGTGTGCAAATGTAGTAAGTTATGGAGGTCAGGCAATAAATAGGCCATAGTGCAAAATAATTACAATTTAGTATTAACACTGGAATGATAGATGTGCAGAAGATGATGTGCAAATAGAGATACTGGGTGCAAATGAGCAAAATACAGGCTGTGTACAGGTGCAGTGATCGGTAAGCTGCTCTGACAACTGATGCTTAAAGTTAGTGAGGGAGATAAGAGTCTCCAGCTTCAGAGATTTTTGTAGTTTGTTCCAGTCATTAGCAGCAGAGAACTGGAAGGAATGGCGGCCAAAGGAGGTGTTGGCTTTGGGGATGACCAGTGAGATATAACTGCTGGAGCGCATACTACGGGTGGGTGTTGCTATGGTGACCAATGAGCTAAGATAAGGTGGGGATTTGCCTAGCAATGATTTATAGATGACCTGGAGCCAGTGGGTTTGGCGACGAATATGTAGTGAGGGCCAGCCAACGAGAACGTACAGGTCACAATGGTGGGTAGTACATGGGGCTTTGGTGACAAAACGGATGGCACTGTGATAGACTACATCCAATTTGCTGAGTAGAGTGTTGGAGGTTATTTTGTAAATGACATCGCCGAAGTCAAGGATCAGTAGGATAGTCAGTTTTACGAGGGCATGTTTGGCAGCATGAGTGAAGGAGGCTTTGTTGCGAAATAGGAAGCCGATTCTAGATTTAACTTTGGATTGGAGATGCTTAATGTGAGTCTGGAAGGAAAGTTTACGGTCTAACCAGACACCTAGGTATTTGTAGTTGTCCACATATTCTAAGTCAGACCCGCCGAGAGTAGTGATTCTAGTCGGGCAGGCGGGTGCAAGCAGCGTTCATTTGAAGAGCATGCATTTAGTTTTACTAGCGTTTAAGAGCAGTTGGAGGCTACGGAAGGAGTGTTGTATGGCATTGAAGCTCGTTTGGAGGTTTGTTAACACAGTGTCCAATGAAGGGCCAGATGTATACAAAATGGTGTCGTCTTGCATAGAGGTGGATCTGAGAGTCACCAGCAACAAGAGCGTCATCATTGATAATGAAATAAAATTTCATTTGCCACATGCGCCGAATACAACAGGTGTAGACATTACAGTGAAATGCTTACTTACAAGCCCTTAACGAACAATGCAAAGTAAAACAAAAAAGTGTTAAGCAAAAACAATTAAAGCAAATAACTAAAGAGCAGCAGTAAAATAAAATAACAGTAGGGAGGCAATATACAGGGGGAATAGAGTCAGCCCGAGAATTGAACCCTGTGGCACCCCCATAGAGACTGCCAGAGGTCCAGACAACAGGCCCTCCGATTTGACACATTAAACTCTATCTGAGAAGTAGTTGGTGAACCAAGCGAGGAAGTCATTTGAGAAACCAAGGCTATTTAGTCTGCCAATAAGAATGCGGTGATTGACAGAGTCAAAAAACTTGGCCAGGTCGATGAAGACGGCTGCACAGTACTATCTTTTATTGATCGCGGTTATAATATTGTTTAGGATCTAAAGCTGGTGGACGGGGTAGGGGTAGCCAAGTGGGAAAGCATGGCCAGCCATAGCAAAATGCTCGATTATCGTAGATTTATAGGTGGTGACAGTGTTTCCTAGCCTCAGTGCAGTGGGCAGCTGGGAGGAGGTGTTCTTATTCTCCATGGACTTTACAGTATCCCAAAACATTTTGGAGTTAGTGCTACAGGATGCACATTTCCGTTTGAAAAAGCTATTCTTTGTTTCCTAACTGATTGTGTATATTGGTTCCTGACTTCCCTGAAAAATGGCATATCGCAGGGGCTGTTCGATGCTAATGCAGTACGCCACAGGATGTTTTTGTGCTGGTAAAGGCAGTCAAGTCTGGGGTGAACCAGGGGCTATATCTGTTCTTAGTTCTGAATTTTTTGAATGGGGCATGCTTACTTATGATGGAGAGGAAAGCACTTTTAAAGAACAACCAGGTATCCTCTACTGACGGAATGAGGTCAATATCCATCCAGGATACCCGGGCCAGGTCAATTAGAAAGGCCTGCTCGCTGAAGTGTTTTAGGGAGCGTTTGACAGTGATGAGGGGTGGTTGTTTGACCGCGGACCCATTACAGATGCAGACAATGAGGCAGTGATCGCTGAGATCCTGGTTGAAGACAGCGGAGGTGTATTTAGAGGGTAAATTAGTCAGGATGATATCTATGAGGGTGCCCATGTTTACGGATTTAGGGTTGTACCTAGTAGGTTCCTTGATCATTTGTGTGGGATTGAGGGCATCTAGTTTAGATTGTAGGCCGGCCGGGGTGTTAAGCATATCTTAGTTTAGGTCACCAAGCAGTACAAACTCTGAGGATAAATGAGGGGCAATCAATTCACATATGGTGTCCAGGGCACAGCTGGGGGCTGAGGGGGGTCTGTAGCAAGCGGCAACAGTGATAGACTTATTTCTGGAGAGGTGGATTTTTAGAAGTAGAAGCTCAAACTGTTTGGGCACAGACCTGGATAGTATGATAGAGCTCTGCAGGCTATCTCTACAGTAGATTGCAACTCTGCCCCCTTTGGCAGTTCTATCTAGACGGAAAATGTTGTAGTTGTGATGAACATTTCAGAGCTTTTGGTGGTCTTCCTAAGCCAGGATTCAGACACTGCTAGAACATGTGTGCTAACGCAGTGAGTAACTCAAACTTAGGGAGGAGGCTTCTGATGTTAACATGCAAAAAACCAAGGCTTTTACGGTTACAGAAGTCAACAAATGATAGCGCCTGGGTTAACCTTTACATCACCAGAGGAACAGAGGAGGAGTAGAATAAGGATACGGCTAAAGGCTTTAAGAACTGGTCTTCTAGTGCGTTGGGTACAGGGAATAAAAGGGGAAGGATATGAGTACAGTGGAGGTAAACCTAAGCGTTGGGTAACGATGAAAGAGATAACATCACTGAAGGCACTGATTGAGCCGGTCTCTGCGTGTATGGGGGGTGGGACAAAGGAGCTCTCTGAGGCTGGTTGAGCGGTACTGGGGGCTCTACAGTGAAATTGTATTATAAGAACTAACCGGAACAGCAATAGGCAAGGCATATTGACATGGGAGAGAGGCATAAAGCAATCACAGGTGTTATTCGAGAGAGCTAAGACAACAACTGGTAATGGCGACGAAAGTTTGGGCTGAGGCTAAACAGATAAACAGGACACATAAACAGGATGGGGGTACCGTGTAAAGGAACAGTCCAGCAGGCATCAGCTGTGCAGCTGAGTGATCATAAGGTCCAGTGAACAGCAATAGGTGAGACCGGGAGCAGTTCGAATGGCTGCTACAGCACAGGCGAGCAGGAAGCACGGCTGTTGATTGCGTGTGCTAGTGGGCCGGGGCTAGCAGATGGATCTTTGTGGTCATCGCAACGGGAAGCCTGTTGAAACCACATCAGACGATTACGACGGCAGACCAGTCGTGATGGATCGGCGGGGCTCCGTTTCGACACTAGGAGGTCCCGTCCGGTTGACAGAGAGGTAGATAGTCGGGAGATGGGCCTGGCTCGAGGCTAGCTCAAGGCGAACTGGTGCTTGCTTCGGGGGCAATGGTGATTAGCCAACAACATCCATTCAGTTGCAGCTAGCTAATTGCGATGATTCGGCGTTAAGGTCCAGTGATTCAGTGATTCCGGCAGAAAATCCGATATGTTCTTGGTCGATAGCGCACTGTGCAGACAGTGCAGACTGGCCGATAATAGTCCAGGCTAGAGCTGGCTGGTAGGTAGTGCAGGCCACGGACAATGGTGAAAACCGCTAACCTCTAATGAAATGGTGCACCAGCACCATAAACCACAAAGGACAATCATACTCATAAAACAGTAAAAGGTGGCCTGGCTGGTCTAGCGGTAATGCCGCAGCCTGCAGCACATGTCTACGGTATCGGCATCGGTTCAAATCCGGCCTGCTGCCCTTTGACACAACCTCTCTCTGTCACCGTCTATCTCTATAATATATTCATAAAATGTTTTTTTCAAGAGAGTAAAATGATTATGTGTGCAGCATTACATGCTGACCAGACCACTCGTGCGCGTGCGTCCGCATGCGCCATCGCGCGCATGTTGATTTTGTCCACCCACACCAGACGCGATCAGGACACGCAGGTTGAAATATCAAAACGAACTCTGAACCAACATTTGGGGACATTAAACATTTATGGCAATTTAGCTAGCTAGCTTGCTTGTTGCTAGCTAATTTGTCCTGGGATATAAACATTGGGTTGTTATTTTACCTGAAATGCACAAGGTCCTCTGCTCCGACAATTAATCCACAGATAAAAGGGTAATTGAGTTTGTTTCTAGTAATTTCTCCTCCTTCAGGCTTCTTCTTCTTCTTTGGACTTTATATGGCGGTTGGCAACTAACTTTAAGGAGCATTACCACCACCAACTGGACTGGAGTGTGGACCTCAGTTCATCTTTCAATCACCCACGTGGGTATATGCTCCTAAAAACCAATGAGGAGATGGGCGAGGTGGGACTTGCAGCGTGTCAAGCGTCACAAATAGAACCAAGTTATATTTAGCGCCTGGATACGCAGACGCGTAAGCAGTGTGGGTACAATGATTGAATAACATGTATGTGTAAATGTATTTAGCAACGCTCGCACACGCGACGCGAGCGGTGTGGTCAGTATGTTAGGCTATTACCATGACTCTGCAATGTTGATAACCCAGGGGGAAATTGCCTGATGAGTGGCAGAAACCAATTTACTCGTCAAAAATACAGGAATGATTATGAAACCGATGATAAGCAAGGGAGAGAGCGGCAGTAAGAAAGAGAGAATGGGGATAGAGTAAAAGAGACAGGGAAAGAGAAGGACTGTCAGGAGACTTGTTTAGATACTAGATCTGCACTCCTACTCTGAGATGCTTTATCATGAATATGGGCCCTGGAGACTTGCCTGATCCAGCACATAGAACAGACTGTCATAGACGGCTTGTTGGGAGTAAAGAGCCACACTGTAATCTTCCTCATCAACTCCACTATAGTCCTTGAGGAACAGGTTCTTGAAGGCCATAGCGTTCTCCTCCTTGTAGGAAACCACAAGCTGGTTGTTCAGTCCAAACAAGATAAGCTTGGTAGGAGAAGAAATACCGAATTTAAAGGTATAGTATGATGCAAAACACATCATCACAGTATTTCTCTCTGTACTGAAAAGTGCTCTATCATGAAAACTTGACTGCTGACATGCAAAAATAAATTGGTATTGTATCAACAATTAACTAATGAACAAAATACTAAAACAGCCTAACCTGGGAATTAGCCTTTCATATCACAACCATATAACATTTTAATATCACCAAATCAGTGTAAATTCACCTAATGAGTTATGAGAGTTAAAAATTCTATAAGGGTTGATGGCATTCTTAAGCCTTGGTGCCAGTCTGTTACTTTCTTCTCTATGGCCAACTCCTTATGTCATGCCAAACCAATTCCATAAGGAGTTGACAAGAGAGCAAGCAGAAAAAGACTGACACCCAGACTAACCATTCTTAGCAATTACCTTTGATAATTCCTAAAAAGAGAGAAACATTAGCGCTAATGATAAACTTCTCAGACTATACCTGTGATGTGATCATGACGATTTTCAGAATCTGCACCCCCAGTTTCCATGGTAACTGGCGTCTGGCCCTGTATTTCTCACAAGGGCTCATGAAGTAGTATTTTAGGTCATCTCGAAGAATCTCTTCCTTGATTATGCCTTGGCTCATTGTGGAACTAAAATAAACAACCCAATACTCATTATTATTAGGCTAAATATAAATTTATTAAATGTTATTATTATTATAGCAACTGAAATGATTGGGAACAACTTGAGGTCAAAATTATCAACTTGAACTCAAATGAATATGATTGAGCTGTATGACATCTTCATCACATTACTTTTGGCCAAGAAAATTACTTACAGTAATACAAGATAAAACATATAATCTATTTTTGCTGACAAGTTCCTTTAAGTGTTTCCCAATAGCCGTGTTATCCCATTTGAAAAGGGGAAGGAGACACATGATTTCAAATTGAAAGAGAAGTAAAGCAGTATGAATAAGACATTTCAGTCAGTTTAGAAAAAAGGCAATTTTTCCACCAGATGTGTTTCCATAAAATGCACAAATAGATGTATAGTAGCACTCCCTGTACTGTACAGGGGAAAGTCCAAGGTCCAAGGTTAACTCACTGCACTCAAAATATTTGCACTAGTGTTGACTAGAACAAAGCTTTTGTTGTAACAACGTGAGGTGTTTTGTAAAATGAAAGTCATTTCAGCATATTGTTTTGTAGTTGTACAGTGTCATTTTACAACTAAAACATCAATTCACTGCACTTAAGTTGAATGACATTTTCTACCAACGTCATGTTTGGCTTATTGATTTTGAAAGCTTCTGAAAGTCTTAACTCTTAATAGAAATATAAACATTTATAACCATAGTTGAAACACATTTCGTATTAAAAGTACAAAAATAACATTCTGCAGGAATATTCGACAACTTCTTGTAAAAACAACTCACCCATGCGGCCCAACTGACTCGCTCCCGTCATGATACCGGACTAACAATTCCATAATGATAAGATAAATGATCAATTTGTCAGTCGAGAGGATAATAAATGTTAATTATCATATGACTTATCAGAGCAGCAGAATAGAAGTTACAACGTTGTAGCAGATTAAAGTGACAATACAATTTGTGTCACTCACTCGAATCGCTGCTGGCGGACTACACGCAGGCATCAGATATACAATCCAAAGTCGGATTCAGCCAGTTGATACTGTAGTGTACTGTACTGTGATTTGCCAAGTACCTCAACTCCTCCACGGAGTTGAGCGCAGACTAGAGTTAATCAAATACAAATTACTGACTGTAACAATTGCTGTTGTGAGATGGCAACTCAGCGCGAATGTTCATGTGCCAATTGAATCTCTACAAGGAAACAGTCGGTAGTTGTATTTGATTAACATTTTATTAAAAAGTATGGATTTCAGCAAACAAAGAAAGGCACGCAACGAGGAAAAACATAGGTACACGGTAAGGGTTTAAGAAAAAAAAAATGTATGTAGCATAGCGACTCGAAGGAGTCGGAGGTTCATTAAAAAAACTCTAGTCTACGCTCAACTCTGTGGAGGAGTTGAGGTACAGTGGCTTGCGAAAATATTCACCCCCTTGGCATTTTTCCTATTTTGTTGCCTTACAACCTGGAATTAAAATGGATTTTTGGAGGGTTTGTATCATTTGATTTACACAACATGCCTACCAGTTTGAAGATGCAAAATAATTTTGGGGGTGAAAAAACAACAAATAAGACAAAAAAAAACAGAAAACTTGAGCGTGCATAACTATTCACCCCCCCAAAGTCAATACTTTGTAGAGCCACCTTTTGCAGCAATTATAGCTGCAAGTCTCTTGGGGTATGTCTCTATAAGCTTGGCACATCTAGCCACTGGGATTTTTGCACATTCTTCAAGGCAAAAATGCTCCAGCTCCTTCAAGTTGGATGGGTTCCGCTGGTGTACAGCAATCTTTAAGTCATACCACAGATTCTCAATTGGATTGAGGTCTGGGCTTTGACTAGGCCATTCCAAGACATTTAAATGTTTCCTCTTAAACCACTCGAGTGTTGCTTTAGCAGTATGTTTATGGTCATTGTCCTGCTGGAAGGTGAACCTTCGTCCCAGTCTCAAATGTCTGGAAGACTGAAACAGCTTTCCATCAAGAATTTCCCTGCATTTAGCGGCATCCATCATTCCTTCAATTCTGACCAGTTTCCCAGTCCCTGCCGATGAAAAACATCCCCACAGCATGCTTCACTGTGGGGATGGTGTTCTCGGGGCGATGAGAGGAGTTGGGTTTGCGCCAGACGTAGCGTTTTCCTTGATGGCCAAAAAGCTCAATTTTTGTCTCATATGACCAGAGTACCTTCTTCCATATGTTTGGGGATTCTTTAAGCAATGGCTTTTTTCTGGCCACTCTTCCGTAAAGCCCAGCTCTGTGGAGTGTACGGCTTAAAGTGGTCCTATGGAAAGATACTCCAATCTCCGCTGTGGAGCTTTGGAGCTCCTTCAGGGTTATCTTTGGTCTCTTTGTTGCCTCTCTGATTAATACCCTCCTTACCTGGTCTCTGAGTTTTGGTGGGCGGCCCTCTCTTGGCAGGTTTGTTGTGGTGCCATATTCTTTCCATTTTTAATAATGGATTTAATGGTGCTCCGTGGGATGTTCAAAGTTTCTGATATTTTTTAATAACCCAACCCTGATCTGTACTTCTCCACAACTTTGTCCCTGACCTGTTTGGAGAGCTCCTTGGTCTTCATGGTGCCGCTAGCTTGGTGGTGCTCCTTGCTTAGTGGTGTTGCAGACTCTGGGGCCTTTCAGAAGAGGTGTAAAGATACTGAGGTCATGTGACACTTAAATAAAGTCCACCTGTGTGCAATCTAACTAATTATGTGACTTCTGAAGGTAATTGGTTGCACCAGATCTTATTTTAGGGGCTTCATAGCAAAGGGGGTGAATACATATGCACGCACCACTTTTCCATTATTTATTTTTAGAATAGTTATTTTTTCATTTCACTTCACTAATTTGGACTATTTTGTGTATGTCCATTACATGAAATACAAATACAAATCCATTTAAATTACAGGTTGTAATGCAACAAAATAGGAAAAACGCCAAGGGGATGAATACTTTTGCAAGGCACTGTACTTGGCAATACTGTGATTTGATTCTCATGCAGCAACACTTAAAAAGGCGGCTTCGCTTAACATACCTGTAGTGTTTTTAGCTGCTTAAATAAAGTTAAGAGTTTAAAAAAAAACACTTGATTGGTGGCACATTTATCCGCAAATGTTCAAAATACAGGACAAAGAGCATTGATAATCCAACCTTTAACAGTCCATCATGAAATAAATCATGATTTTGAATGTAACACGAAGAATTATAAAATATTTTAATAATGATTTCCTTTCAGCAGTAGAAACAATTGAGATGACTTGTGTCATTATTTGCGCTATCTAATACTTCAAAACACACTGATTTCCCCTCATCCCTTGCCGATATTAGACAAATTACCTATATTAGACAAATTACATATATTATTTTTCACTGCTGTCAATGAGAAGAACATTGTTTAGTGCTAGCTACGTTGTGCTAGCTACGTTGGCTCCATCTCTTGTACAGGCACCTCAACAGTTTGAACATACTGCCCTGAGATGGATGAAGTATTTTGCTCTTCTGATGACTTCTCTATCATCTGGAAACAACAGGAAGCACAGAGCTATATTAAGAAACAAATCATCCCATCATATGAGAAGTCACAGCTTTATATTAGTAAAACCCAATGATGTAGGCCTATACATGTGAATATGTACAGTGCCTTCAGAAAGTATTCACACCCCTTGACTTTTTCCACATTGTTATGTTACAGCCTGAATTTAAAATGGATTAAATTGAGATGTTGTGTCACTGGCCAACACACAATACCCCATAATGTCAAAGTGGAATTATGTTATTAGACATTTTTACAAATTAACTAAAAATGAAAAGCTGAAATGTCTTGAGTCAGTAAGTATTCAATCCCTTTCTTATGGCAAGCCTAAATAAGTTCAGGAGTAAAAATGTGCTTAACAATTAACATAATAAGTTGCATGGACTCACTCTGTGTGGAATAATAGTCTTTAACATGTTTTTTTATGACTACCTCATCTCTGTACCTCACACATACAATTAATTATCTGTAAGGTCCCTCAGTGGAGCAGTGAATTTAAAACACAGATTCAACCACAAAGACCAGGGATGTTTTCCAATGCCTCGCAAAGAAGGGCACTTATTGGTAGATGGGTAAAAAAACTGAATATCCATTTGAGCATGGTGAAGTTATTAATTACACTTTGGATGGTGTATTAATACACCCAATCACTACAAAGATGCAGGCGTCCTTCCTAACTGCCGGAGAGGAAGAAAACCGCTCAGCGATTTCACCATGAGGCCAATGGTGACTTTGAAACAGTTGCAGAGTTTAATGGCTGTGATAGGAGAAAACTGTACAAAACATGCATCCTGTTTGCAACAAGGCACTAAAGTAATACTTCAAAAAATGTGGCAAAGCAATTTACCTTTTGTCCTGAATACAAAGTGTTATGTTTGGGGCAAATCCAATACAACACATTACCACTCTCCATATTTTCAAGCATAGCGGTGGCTGCATCATGTTATGGGTATGCTTGTAATCGTAAAGGACTGGGGAGTTTTTCAGGAGAAAAAAGAAACGGAATGGGGCTAAGCACAGGCAAAATGCTAGAGGAAAACCTGGTTCAGTCTGCTTTCCACCAGACACTGCGAGATGAAGTCACCTTTGAATACAACACTGCCCCTTTAAGGCTTTCCTGGAGGATGGTTGGCCACCATTTAGCCTATAAAATCTTGCAAAATTACAATTACAACCTTTTATGTCTTTATAAATAATTTCCTCATTCAATGAATCAGGGATCAAATGGCTAATGTAGGCTACTTCAAAGCAAGGTAACTAACTAAGACATGTTTATCTATAACCTTGTAAGGCTAAAATATTCAGGTTTCAGGGGAGCTCTATTGACAGCATGGGAGATATTTCTCAATTAGGCTATTCTAAGAATATATTTTAAAGTTGTCAGAATGACATGACCAACGTTGAATAGAGGGGAATCCCAGCTTTGCAATGGTGTCAGATTGTATTTCTCAGCTCA